TAACACGTTGATGACCGCGCCATTTTGGGCGAAACTCCCACTAACGTCCTTCGCGCATTTGGCCCGTGCATACGCGCAGATGCACGAGAACATTATGTGCGAGTCTTTTTGACAGTTATTCATGAAACATGCGAACTTTGTTCAGAAATACAGGTATATCACAGTGCCCTACCATGACTTACACAAATCAAGGTTTTTGCATGATTTTACCTCCAATAAACCATGCAATGGCTATATCTGAGGAATCCCTCTTCGAGAAAAGCGCTGTAATACCAGGTGTTTCTTGCCTGATTCATCCTTGTTCGATTTCAAAACAGCTATACAGAGTTCTCACCTTCTCGGAGAAACGTAATTAGCATGTATTGAATACATCAAAAACGGACTGGTTGCCCAATTTTGCGAACAAAACTTCCGAACAGCTGCCGCGATGCCTTGTGTTCTGTAAGACAATCAGACCACTAGTAGTATTACTGCATAGAAGTTACCTTAAAACTTTTCGTTTGCAAAAAAACTAGCGTGCATATGCGCGGATGCACGAAAATGCTAAACGGGAGTCAGGGCGTGCATATATGCGGATACACAAGGTCGTCAACGTGTTAAAACTAAACAAATAGCACACCTATAGAAACTGGACGCATCCAAAGTCAGAAAAAGTCCCACCGCGAGGAAACTTTGGTGAACCATGGTTCGACTGCAAGAGGGGAACGCACCAGTAAACCAATTTACGGCAAAAGTTAATAACAACAATGGACACAAGTATGATACATGGGATCGAACTGTATACTGGCGGCAACAGGAAGGAAAAGCAAGGAAGATGAAAAGCTTAGCGAGTGCGCTCAGTATAGTAAAATCTGAGACCGAGACGAGGATGCCATCCTGTTAGATACAGAGTACTCCCTAACCATGATATGGAAAAAAACAGATTTTCTATGAGTAGGTCAACCACCCACAACTTTCGCAAATTAATTTCTGCTGAGGTTATTTGATTTGAAAAACTGAAAGGGTCCTCTTCTGGTGTGAAATGAAGACGCTTTACCTTGAGAAACGTCAATTCTTTTCCAGCAAGACCATATTACTCATCCGCTTTGCTTTTTTAGCAAAAGTAGTCTTCAGTTGTACCTCTTGAAAAAAAATTGCATCAATATGAAACCTGATGCGCGAAACTTCTTTGAAGTAGTTTTCTAGAAAGGCATCAAACCTTCTCTTGCAAAGAGAAAGTTACCCATTCTTTACTTTCATGTTTTCGAAGATTTTTTCCAAAGGGGAAAGAAGTAGTCCTCTGAGTCAGTGTCTTACCGTAGAAAGCGTCAAGCCTTCTTTTTCGGCGAGATTCAAGTTACTCACGCGGTCCTCCCTCTGTGAGCATAGTTAGATTCTAGCAGTTAGACATCGCGGATTAGAGTCAGTTTTACTGTCAAGTTTGGTATTTGCGAGACAGAAATTTTCGAAGCGTCCGACCTTTTCTCTAACAAACAAAAGACTCGAACAGTGAAGATTAGCGGACAATGTGTGGGTCAGCAATCAAACTTGACTTTCACCATACGCCCGGTAGTCTAGAGACAGAGTGTCAAAAGTGAACGCACCTCTTTAAAAATTGAAGGTTGTCTAAAGAAAGCTAGAGAAGAGAAAGAGATGTAGGCTTAGCAAGAACAAAAGAAGCTGTGTAACTATAAGACTGGGTAAACTGCAATAAATTTGAAATTTTTCCTTTGGCGATATTTCGAACAGGCTTCAATAATCTCTGGATCACAATTCGGGAAAGATGAGAAACGGCTAAGTTGTTTTCTGCACTTGTTTTAACGGAATCAAAGTTTTTGAAGTAGTCAAAGGGGCGTGACCATTAACATTAACAGCTCCGTCATCGACACTTCATAAAATTTCGTCAGGCCGTTTTCGGTGTCCTGCGAAGTCTGTAGATCATCTCCTTAACGGGGCCGTCGAGCGTTGCAAGGACCCTTCTTTAATGCGTAAGGGGCTATCTGTCCCTCTCCGGGAAAAATTTTGGTCTAATCACCCAGTTGTTTGAAAATACAGTCGAGCATAATTACTTTTTGTGTTTGTTGTTCTATACTATAAATAAGTAGTAATTTCAGTAGTGTTCTGTCTTTTCAAAAAAAAAATACTATTTTTGAGTAGGGATTTAGTGTCTAGAGCTAATTTGGGTGGGGTTTAGGGGCATAATTGAGGTTTAGAGCTTAATTAGGCTAGCAGCATTCCAGAATAGGCTTTCCTGGACTTACGATGAACGAAGTTCGGTGGCTTCCAGTGAACGAATTCCGTACCGCCGCTGGGGAGACTCCGGCCGTTACCGAATCGGTCCCCCGGATGGATCCGGCCCGTTGTGTGAGTACGCACTCATTGTAGAGATGAGGAGAAAAAAGAAGACCATTTAGTTTCCTACATGCTAAGCTAGGTCCTCAAAAATCTGCAACGTCGCAGAAGAATTTGATTTCGTCAGTTCATATAATTTAAGACCTGCTCTTAACAGTCGAAAATTTGTATTGTAATTTCTGCGAGAAGTCATAATTTTCGAGCTAACAACTAAAAACTCTCAAACTGATTAATTCATCGTTTTTGTTAAGAATTATAACTTTTCGCAAAGATATAAAAAGGCTCATTTTTTTTCTTGAGAGTAGGAAACTTATTTACCAATGATTTCTGATTTTTCTCACACGTTCAGACCTAAATTGAAACGAACAAAGTTTAAATCGTCTTCTTTTTTCGTTTTTATCTCTGCCATGAGTGCATGGTAAATGCTTATCGATACATAATCATAAAGAAGGAGACTTCTACTTTTTGATAAGATTATAAAAAAGCAAATCCGTCTAGATGGCGAAAACTTACAAACTTCAAAAATTGAAACGACAAGCTTTTGAGACAACTCAATACAACATGATTTCCAGTTAATTCAAGTGAGTGCAAAGTGAGTGCATGATCTCCACAGCCTTACATCCAACATCACTCGAACTGAAAATGTCTCAAAATTTTGATAGCAGTCGTCATTGTAAGATTAGGTCTGCAAGTTAAAGTGAAAGTCTATAAACTGCGCATTTGTGAACGGCGGTTTTTAAACTACAATTCTCCAAAAGCACTAGCTAGCATACCCGGCTCCGACCGCACCTGTCAACACACTATCTCAGACAGTCGCCGAGGGCAGGCGCACAACCGGAAAGTGCACGTTGCTGACATTCCACACTCTGCTTACGGAAGTTTAGAGAACCGTTCATGATTTTTACATGCTAACTTTTTTTCGCTCTGGTCTCCGGAAAAATAGCTGCTATGTGGTTGAGGCGGTCTGGCGGAAACTCGTAGCTCCTTTTCTAAAATACAAAGGGCAGGGGCGAGAGTTCAGCCATCTGTTCTCCGATGCCCGCCTACCCCCGGGCGACTGTGTGTGATGTTAACCATCACCATTCTTATTTCTGTGCAACATTACGCTATACCACTTCTATGTACCTTTGTTCCCTGTCCCCATAATGCCCTTGTAATCGCCATGCTCACATTCTTTGTACCATCTCCCAGCTCGTCATGCCAAACTTCGCAGAGAACCGATAAAATCGACAAAAATGGGTATTTTTCAAGCAGTGCTACCAGGGCTGGCACGAGCTGGCACCAGGGAATTTTCAAAGCGAAGTCCCCCTTGAAATTTGCTAATTTTTACGAAGTCCCCCTTGACTTTTGGGAATTTTTACGAAGTCCCCTTTGATTCTCAACGATATCCCCTCTGAAATCCTAAAAAAACCCCCAAAAACGAAACGTCGACTAAAAAAAAGGTCGCCGTCGCCAATTTTGCGTATCTCTTCGCCCACAAAAACGAAACCCCTTTGCTTTTTGCTCCAAAAACGATATCCAGCTTGCCCCGTGCCAGCTGGTGCCAGGCCCTGAGTGCTACATTCATTACCATCGTACTGGCTTACCTTCCCTGCCCCCCCCCCATTCCAACTTCCAGTCTCGTAGCCCAAAATTTGCAGAAGATTGCTCAAATTAATTGCGGCAGTTGATGATTGTAAAAGTTGATAATGCATTGTTCAGCAAGCTCATTTACTCCCCGTGCCAACTCCCCGTGCCAACTTCTACCCCCTACCCCCTACTTCAAAGTCTGCATGAAATCGATGGAATCGTTAAAAGTCACTATTTTAAAAACTAATGTTGTTCGCAATCAGCATGTTGCCCCCCCCCCTTCCTTTTGTACAAAGGATGCCTAGAGTTTTTTGACAGAGGGCAGAAGGTACTTTGAAAGTTGGACATGCCACCAAATCTGTTTTACGCAACGTAGATGATGGCCTACATTTGGACTTGCCCAATCGCATTTATAACACCACCAGTGCGTCACCTCTGCTTCGTAGAGGTTCACACTAGCTCTACTATTTATCCCTTCTCCTCCCCGCTTCATGATCGCTTTAAACCTCACCGCTGCTGACTTTTACAATGAATCGTAAACAACCATTCACTCCTTGTGCTTTTCCATGTAAGACGTTAACTTTGAGAGGAGCAATTTTTTTGAAAAAGAACAGATGCTAATATGAATTAGTCACCGGATTTATTTTATCTTGTTAGTCGCCATAAGGAGATAGTCACTGTGGGCTATATCTGGGCAATGCTTATCCTTATGGTTGGTTCATCACCTTGGAAAGAGTCTGATTACCGTCCCAATTATGCGAGCAAACATGCGTGGATCCGTTCAACACCTGATTTTTGGGAGATTCGCGTATCGAACCCTCTCGTCCTATGCATAGTGGACCTAAATGCTGCTACCGTATGCTGTGCAAAATTGTAGGTCGAGACGTTGGCTGCAACTCGCTCTAAGAATTTCGTGGACAGACATACACACACAAAGACGCTTAATAGCTGTGAAACCATCAATAAAAATACAGACGGAACGGTACTCTGGAACAGACTGCCCAAGATTAGCATGAACTTGCTATAAACAGCATGACGTTTATCTCGCTTTCAATGGTGCTTTCACAGGGTTTTCTCGATTAAAAGGTAAGTGGAGCATACATTTCCTCAAGATTCAATTGTTATTCTCTTTCTTCCAGAAGTAGAATGCCACAATACCGTAGGCTGTGCAAAATTGTAGGTCGAGATGTTGGCTGCAACTCGCTCTAACACAATTTTTGTTAATAATTCTGACCTTTAAAAGCGGGATCGTTTGTCACGAATATCGTCATATTCAGGGCTCGGCAAAGGTGGCTTATAAGCAAGCTGGATATCGTATTTGGGACAAAAGCAAAGGGGTTTCGTCTTTTGTGGCCGAAAAGACACAAAATTTGCGACGTTTTTTTTGATTGCCGTTTCGTTTGAAGATTTTTCGGGGTTATGGTCTAGGCTCAAAGAAAAGTCAAGGGGGACTTGTACTTTTTGCACTTTCAACTAGCCTCGTACCTAGCCCTGTCATGTTTCTACTCCAAAGCGCCAGCTTTCATGCGACTGCGCCCAGAATGGCAGAGAATTGAAGGAGCCCGGATTTGTGGAAGATTTTGCTTGCGGACCTCATCTGACGCACCGATTGAGAGAACCGTAGTTGCTTTTCACGCTACGGTCTCTGTTTCCTTGAGCAGACTGGGCATGCTTTCAGACTTCAACGAGTACTATCGTCTTGGCTCTAGAATTCCAAAAATTCTTTCAGTTGGTGAGCATCCATAGGTAAAATTTTGTTTATTGTTAGCTCCAAAATCTCCACCCGCACTGTGCAACTAGGTTGGCCCTTACAGAAATGCGTGGCCGCATGAACTCAAATCACAGACTATGTATAGCTTTAAATAGGGGTTTACGATTATGATAACTCCTTGGCTACTTTCAATAAACTTGCTTTCACCTTGTTGTAGGGTTACTGTAAGTTAAGGAAAAATCACACATTTTATCATTTAGTTGCCATTATCTTCTACAGTGAAGAATTTCGTGATTAACTCTACAGCGAACACTCTACGAAAACACTTCACCATGCTTTCCGTTGAAATCCTTTGCAATTCGTGATGAATTACATTTTCATGAACACACTAACATGGAGAAACTCGCTCACCGTCTACCTACCGCATCCCGATTTATTACTCTGACTTTGTATTTAGGGTTGTCTTATTAAACTGTATCCACTCGTTGATTTCAAATCTGTTTGTACTACAAGAGGGTATCGTCAAATCCGGTACATTCAGCCAATAAGACGAATTCCTCAATCGTGAATCCGATTAACCGAAGAAAACTGCACAAAGAAAACCCGTTTTCCGTACTGACTGTTCAAAAAGGAAACAGAACCTCAAACTTACGTATGAATCAATTCAATTCAAAATTTGTTTATGCAACATCAAATCATTAGGCATAAATTTGTACATGATATGACAAACCTAGATCACCTAGAAATATTTACATACATATCGACAACGCTGTCGATGTAATAATGATGAGCATGCGAGAACAACTTGAAAGTGATTAAAGAAGAAGATTTGAGAGAATATCCCGTTTTGTTGATGTCCACGTAAGCAGAGCCCGTACAAGGACTCAAACCTCAGGACGGTCTGTGACAAAGCTTTTCTCAGGAGCAATCTGAATCTTTCGTTTTTACTTATTATACTGTAATTGTAAGTGATGTAAGCTCACCCTTCCATTTTTTTGCTTTGCTGCCCTAGCCGCATTTTGTTGCGCTTTTGCTTGAGCTGCAGCTCCTAAAAATCCACTTCGAATCTTTTCCAAAACTATGAAGTTGAAAATGTTACCTTTTGGCCGAAAAGCCCATCTGATGGAATCGGCCATGATTAGTATTGCTGGAAGGAACAAAAGCCCATGCAAGTTGCAGAGGACCACGCACAATACCATTGTTTTTACAAATACCTAAAACATTTCAATAATTGCAGACAACCCGAGAAATCCATGATGTTAATTGTTGCTCAAATAAACTTAAACATCAGAGCTCGGCACGGTGGCTTATAAGCAAGCTGGATATAGTTTTTGGGACAAAAAGCAAAGGAAGTTTCTTTTTTGTAGCCGAAAATACACAAAATTTGCGGCTTTCTTTAGTCGATGTTTCGTTTTTTGGAGATTTTCAGAGAATATGGTCTAGGGTCAAAGGGAACTTTCTTTGTGCATTTTCAGCTAGCCACCTTGTGCCGAGCCCTGCTTAAACATTATGATAAGCTTGAGTTGTTGGCGCACAAACTCTTTTTCAAAATATTTTTCAAGCAGGTCCAGGGTTACCAAGTGTTGTCGTGCCAGCGTCGTGCCGTGAAGCGTTGCAAGAGCTCCGTTTTGTTGATCGATTGGTGCTGGCACGGGTCATTCAAGACGCAGCTTCATTTCAAAATAGCGCAGGGAAGTTAGATGCAGTTGTTTCCCTCGTAACAACATCGCAAACTTTCCAAATTTAATTCCTTTTTTTTCTGTTTGAACTGCTTTCTTGAAGTGTAAGTCCGCCAGATAAAAAGTAGCAAAGCAAAGACCATATTTTTCAGAGTCAAAAGTTTGCATATAATGCTACAAAGACTACCTGAGCCATGTACAGATTGACGAACAGCAAACTGCAGACACAGAGTATGGTGCTGAGCGCGGCTTGTACAGCAGGAAAGGCTACAGACGACAGACAATTGGCTAATCTGTCAGCTGGCCTTGATGCCGGTCCTTCTTGTATAGCTAAAGAGATAGTAGTTATCACAAGAAACAAGGAAAAAAGTAGCCAATCTGGAGTGAATTGACTTTAGAGGTTTACATGTAGGCTGCCATAGTTCATATATAAAATCGTGACGACGGATTTTACTGCGTACTTTGCGCTCGCATGAGCATAAAACGCTCATACAATAAGGCATCACCTCAATGTTTAGCTCTGCCACTTCCAGTGTCCAAGTAATATTATACGTAAGCATAAAAACCATTCGACTAGAGATGAAGATCAAGAAAATGCGATTTCCCGAAGTGGCGTGCGTGTCACGCGCGGTCGCGCCATCGTCACAATTTTTCAAATGCCCTGTACCTTGATTTGATCAGAAGTGTTACACTGGACGCCACTTCAGCACAATTCTTGATGGTCCCTCAGCTTAGGCAACATTGTAAAGCTTATCTTCTTATACCAGTGACAGCCCTAGAGATTTTTGGGGTGGATGGGGAACAAAACAATAATTACATGAATAAACATGGCGCTAAGGGGCGCTTTAAAAATTTTCGGATGCTTCCCATTTCAACAAGCTTGTAATTCTGATTTAAAAAATTCGCAATGCTCAACAAAGACTACAAGTCTACTATGAGTTTATGCTATACAAAAGTATTTTGATAATTTAACACATTGACGACCATGCAGATTCTTAGTCGTAGGCCCTCTGGGAGCAAGGCCTTTTACGGACCAACCCACATTTGACTATAATTACGCATACTCTACCACCCTCAGTACACCCACAGTAAATCTGAAAGGCTGACAAAGAAGGTAGAGGTCATCCCCAGATTCAGTGCAAAAGAAAGCTCATGGAATGAGTATATCCTAAGATAGTAGCCATTTCATTAAAAAATTCAAGCTTTGGCACACATGGTGTGTCAAGCGGTCCCACACGGTAGTCATTGCTTGACACACCATGTGTGTCAAGCGGTCGTCAATGTGTTAAAGAAAAAAGGCAGCGTTCCATAATTGCTGTATACCGCTTCGGTTTTCCAACTTATTCTCTAGGGAACAGATAAACAGACGAATTAGCATCCAGTAAAGAACAGAATAGACCAAAGCGTCATTTGAAGTAGCATTCAATACAAAACATCTCTCTCTGGGATTCAGTGAATTTTACACCACTACTCTCTACACTTCGCTATTAAAAGTCTTGAGAAGCAGATCGGTTGACGGGACCTTCTAAAATGCCTCAGCAAAGCTGAAACGTTATGTCATTCTTATTGTTATAAGACAACATAAAGTGCAGCAAACTGTGTACGTAAAGATCAAAGCTGCTGATCTATTGCAGCAGATAAAAAGCAGTAAGTTGCCTAGATTTCAAGTTTTTTTGCCGTATGGCAATACCTGCAAATACTTACAGGCTTGATAGTAATGGTAGGACACATGCGCTGGTATGTCGACTGAGAAACCGATGGAGATGATGGTAGCAGCCATAGTAATGGGATCGAGGTCCACTCCCCACCATGACAGTATACCAAGGATTCCTGAACATTTCAAATTCAATTAAAAAAATTCTCAGCCTTCTTTATTACCTGCACAAATGGAGAGCACTGAAAGACTTGCTATGGCGACAGTGAAGAAGTTGTTGAGGAACACAAAACAGACGAGAGCCATGCAGACGAGAGTACCGAGCACTGACTGAACAGTTACGATCAGGGATACTATAGCTTAGTGTGAAAATAGCAGAAGGTAATGGACTAACCTGCCATGTATCGGTTGCCATATTATCAATGAGATCTAGATACACACCATCTTCATGGAACACCGAAGTTTTAAATTCACTGAAATTATCTATGTTGACAGCCTGATGCGTCTTATGAGAAGATTGATCGGACAAAGATCGTATCAATCTTCTTATTGTATTATTTGGTCTCAACAAACTACAATATCGATATATGTGTACTGTATATTTTGGAGAGAAAAATCCATTTATTTGCTACATTTCTATTGCATAAAGCGGAAAATTACAGTATATCACACTATGTGAGCTGACTTAGAAAAAACACAAAATCTGAGTCCAAATGGTGGCATTGATAATGAAGATCTAATAGAAATGGAGTTAAGTTTCACAACCCATCTCTTCTGTCAGAAAAACCCTTGATAATCAAATTTTTCTAACAGTTCGATTTCCTCAACTTCTGATTTTTTATTAGAAAAAGTTTATTTGCAGTAAAGTGTAACGCTGATCAGGTTCAACAAAAAATATATAATCTATTTTGAACATATTTGAAATATGATTTTCAAGATATTTAGTCGCAGAACTTTTGTTCCTGCCTAACACTCATCAACTTAAATATTTTAATCTATTTCCGTATGAAAAAAGTGTTTTTGGATCAGTAAATGAATAAAACCAAATCTTACCTGTACTTATCGACTACTCTCCTCCACTCTCGTAACATAGCACCTCTTTGGTTCCAGTCAGAAAGCGCTTCGCCATGGAATCCAGTGGTAAAAAAGAAGCGATCAAGGTGTTCTTCTCTAAACAGAAGCAGTCAAACTCGCTTCAAGGGCAAATTGGAATCAACGTACCCTTCATGTGTTCCGTTCCTCAGCTTTACGAAACCTGACCAGTAATCATATTCAGGCCACTTTAGGAAGTATTTCAATTCGTCATCACTGAAGTGTGTCACCTGGAACAGGAAGATTACGCCTATACTTTTCCAAACGACGCAGAAGACCATATTACCTCAATTATGGCAGTTGTTGTGGTCTCTATTTCTTCGTCTGGTTCAGCAAAATCGTCCGCGTCCGCGAAAGCTATAAGCCACAATTTATTCTGCGCACACAAATAGCAGAAATTTGTCAAACTTGTGGAAAAAAACCCACTTTGTTGAAAATTCGCGTAGTCTCGCATGAAGAACATTGTTCCGACGGGTCCCCAGTTTTCACCCCATTTACCTTTCAGTTGTTCCATGTCTTCTACAAGCCTGCAAGGTAATTAATTGCAAATGGACCGAAGAAGGAAGAGAAGGAAGTTGTTTGAAAAATTCAATTGCCTTGAGCCTTTTCAATTTCACACGTATAAAATTTGCGATACTGTTGACCTATGAGATTTTTGAAGACTTCAGATTTCGGAAAAATCTTCAAGTCTTGTACTTTATAAGTATTGAACTGATCTTACAAAATATCATTAAATTTGTTAGGTTCTTAAAAAATATTTTTCTTTCTCTTTACCATAACTTCTTTCTATCGAAATTGCGGGTGAGCAAACAAAGAGGAAAAGTTTGAGAATCCAACAAGACAGTTTGACAAAAATAAAGTATGAACGCTGTGGTGTTCCATAAAATTGATGGTGGCTTCTGCACTTCCATTTTTTACTTTTTGATTGTTGTTACTAGTACAAGATATCCCTAATAATTAATAAGATTAGTGTTAAAGCGAAAAATCAAACTGATAGAACTTACTGATTGATTCGCCGCAACCTATGAGGTTCTGATAGATTTCCAGGAGTTCGAACGAATACCGTGGCCATTGAATACGAAGGTACTTGATATTTGACGCGATAGTGGTCCAACTGAAATGCAACATTTTTAGTCGCAGTCGTAAAAATGTCAGTTTGGTTACCTCCAATAGCGGGGAATCCGTGGCAAATAGTTTAGTTGCGGTCAAACTGATGTTGATGATGGTTATTCCCTAAAGATCACGTAAGGCCCATAATTTTGAAAATTTTAAAAAAATTCTTACATAGATGCTGAAGATCAAATATGCAACGTAGATGACGACTATGCCAATATAGACCGCTGGTGTGGTCATGATGTTCACGTAGTCTCTCATGAATTTGCTGATAACGGGTTTCGTGGCTTCGTGGAATTTTGAAGGTTTTCTCTAAAATCACTTCGTTGAACAAAAACGCAGATCATGAGTTATTTATAATTTCTTCATTCTATTCAGAATATGAATAACTTGTAGATTCCTTCGAACCTTCCCAGCAAAATTTCAGGACGCAAGAAAAACTTTGCAATTTTCGAGTGGAAATTGTCAAAAGTCCTAGATTATGAAAGGCTTTGACTTTTTTCGCGTGATAGATCGAGCATATTTGAAGGGAAGAAAATGACAAAAACCCTCGTTTCTACATATACTAAGAACTCTAAAACAGCGTATTACAGGGGAATTAACGAGATTTTTTGTCGACTTTTGTGACTGAGAAGTCGACTAATCACCTCCACCGGTAATTAACAACATAGTACTCTCTAAACATTTGATTTGACATAAAGAGAATACCTGCCCCCCCCCCCTTTGCACAAATTGCGCGGGCAATCTGACAATTCATAAAAAGTTTTTATTGTCGGGCAGTCTTCGCTTGAGTTCTCAGGACTAATTTGTATATCACTTCTTTTCCTTTTTATATTGCCTCAAAACTTATTTTGCACTTCCTTGGGAGCTACTGATGAGGAGCGCCAGGAAGTCACATACTCGGTCTAGTTCTTGGCCCCGAAACCGGTTATGTGGAAAATTAAGTAACGTTTAATCTAGAAGCTATTGTTGCACAACTTTGTATTTTAACACTTTTCTCTATTATTTGAAATGACTTACGGTAAGAGGACGATGATGACGCGCAATGTTTACTTTGTTGTCAGCGATGTTGATTTCCATTTTATTTTTCTCCTCTTCGTCCTCAACGATCTCATATCGACCTACGATGCACATCAAACCAGCGTAGAAAGTCATCTAAATTTTTTACAGTATTAGTGGGTAATGAAACCTGATCACGGGGCTCTATCAAAGGCATACGAAAATACGAAAAATGGCATTCTCAATGAATTATTTACTCAAATTATTGCTGATGAAGCCGCGTACCTGATAGATGAATGCCAACACCATGGAGAGCATGTTGCCAGAGCATAGAAGTGTGATTTCCGGAGATGATGTGTATGAGCCAACAAAATCAGCGAAAACATTGGTCAAACATGAGATCAGAATGGCGGGACCGACTTCGGAAAGAACCTGTGCGAGTTGTGAATAGTATTGGTTTAGTGGAGAAGACAAAGTAAAATGTTGCATACTTCGCTCATCCGATGTCCCACACTATCTTTTTTCCTTGGCATTTCTTCTCGCATATGTTCTGTGACTCTTTGCCATTCATGAATCATCAGATACGAGGAGTCCACACCTTAAATTGTTGCAATCAGAATTTTGACTTTTTACATTCAGTTTCACTTCCTCTGGTAAAAAAGACAATAAGAAACGCTTAGACTTCATTGGAAATGAAAGCTGAAGAAGGCTAAAGGAGTAGTCGTAACCTATATTTTATAGGCTTTCATAGGATACACTATAGGATACGCTTCTTCCTGATTGTTTAAGAATTTGCTTGTTTCGTATAATGATATAAAACCCGCCCAAGGACAGCCTCTTAGGCTGTGTCCAGAGCTGGCCGTGCCAGCGCCGTTTCTGCCTCGTGCCAAGGCTGATCAATCAATAGGGATTGCAACATAGATTCTGGCACGGCGTTGGCACAGGGTAACTCTGAACGCTCCCTTAGCAGTGTACAGTTGCCGTTTCTAATGAAGGATTTTCCAGCTATTGTAGGGACTGAGAATAACGAAAATTACAGAAAGTTGCTCAAGTGAGTGCCACTTACGATATCCTATAGTTTTCAAAATTGAAAGGCTCAATAAACTTACCAATGGAAAGTACCAAAAATGGAATGACGCATAATATTGAAGCAAATCGTACTCCGCATATGAACATTCCGGCTAGAGCCGTGGAACACGCAAGAAGAGGTGTGAGGCAGGCCATGATAGCCAAAGCTGTCTGTGAATTAGATGTTTAACCCAATGCTGCTAAAATTTCAACTCCCCCTAACTTACCTTGTACCAGTTTTCTTGGTGCATATACAGCGCTCTGATCATTACTGATACTATACTGCACACACACATGATTGCGAAGCCAACGACCAGGTAAGGAAGCATGATGATTCCTCCTCTGACCATTTCCTCCTCTACATAAGACTGCGAGTAGGCAAAGACTTTGACTAAGTCAGAGTGATAGCTTCTGCAAAATAAAAATTTTTCGACCCAGTTTTGTCAATCATCCTTCTCAGAAAGTCGTCTCACCTCTCAAACACTTCCGTAAACTTCATTTCCCAATGCTTGACATCGGCGTCAGTCCAGCCGGGTTTGTGCTCAGCTCGGAACTGCATGGCCAGCATTTTCACCGACTTTATGTTCGTCACTCGGGGTAGCTCCGGGATCACGTCCGTTGAGTTTATAACTGAAATTAAAGTATTAGGTTGAACACTAGGTTTTGCAACTTGTTTCATAACTTCACTGTCATTCAACATGGCGCACTCAAACTTTGGCATCATGTAGAATGCAATGTGAGCTACAAGCGAGCACAAATTGTCTGAATTTTGAACACGAAATAGAAAAGTTTCAGGCGTTTTTCGAAAACCAGTGAAATTTGAGAATTTTTGGGGTTCCAAGCTAAAATGAAGCCTTTGGCAGCCTAGACCATGCGCAGTAATCCGGATTCGTCTATAAATTATTGCTGGAGGTTGACTCCTTTGGTCTACTAAGAAAGAAACAAAATTTAGGGGCATGTCGAGATTTGGCGTCCCCACAAAGTCGAACGAGCCGATGTACGCAAGAGCTGCTGGGGACGACCGTCAACGACTAAAGAACTAACGTCTGAAGCTCAAATTCCTCCGAGACTTCACATAGTAAGGTTATTTAACCTGCCGAACGCGAATATCATATTCATTTGTTGAATTCAACGCCATTTTCCTTGTTTAGGGTGAGACCCCATATCGTACACCTACAGTAATCTTACAAAAAAGCCCTTATCACGGAATTTCACTATCGTTTTCGTGATCAGCATGTTGGATAACATCCCTATGCCAAGTTTCAGCCAAATCCGTCAAACTTTGAATTTTTCTCCTTTATACCATATAACTACCGTAACCCTCACTGCGACGTCAGAATTTGGTAGGACAGCAGCTGCGCTTGTAGCTTACGTAGTAACCAACACAGTGGCAAAATTTGAGTGCGCCATGTTGAGTGAGAGGGAAGTTATGAGACCTGTTGCAAAACTTAGTGTTCAACCTAATATTATCACATTATGAATCTGAGAAGTTTTAATTTTGCTAGTTTACAATGAAACTATTCAAACAAACCGGGCAAACTTCTGTATATATTTATTTTGGGATAATTCTTAGAAAAATTCAGACCGATCCAACAGGACCATAGGACTGGTTGTGATATTAATATTGCCAAATATGCTCTGGTCCGAAATGGCAGTTATGGGAAAGATGGCTTGGTCATGAATGTGTTAAAACGAAGATACAAGAGACGCAAATCACGGAAAACCATAGGGTTACCTTATACTTGAATGACATCATTTTCAACAAGCTTCGCTCACTCAGCTCTTACTATCTTAAATAGAATTCCAGGGTTCAGCTATTCCTCCGATGTTTATTTCATATATTTTTGTTCTTATTTTATACACTCCAAGTGCACCAAAAATACTATCAAAAACACATTCTCGCCATCATTCGGATGAGTACTGCAAGACATTAAATTGTAATGAATCTTTCAACAGTGTATAATCTGTTCAGAAGATATGAAACTGCGAAATTTTCACTTTTTCGAATTTTATTAGGTTATGGCTGTGGTCTATTCAAGTCAACCCTGAAGGAGGACCCAAAAGCAAAGAGCTTCAAAGTGGTCTACATCTGTTGTCATACGCATAATATTTGTGGGTGTTCAAACTTCCAGTAGATCCCATGAAAAACGACTGGCTTTGACAATCTTGTAGAAGGATAGCATTCACTTTTTATTCTCAAAAAATTCAAGATCATGAGCTCGCAAAAAATGTGTAAGAGCGTAGTTAGCGCCACCTTGTCAAGAAATTTTTTAAATTTTCTCCATCTTCCATGAACTGTAGAAACTTACATATATCAATAACATCTGGTCCTCCTAGTAGACGCGGAACAGAGTCTTCTGTATCGTTGTACACTTCAACACCGAAAAAGTTTTGCTGCAAATCAGAATAATTATATAGCGCCATCTGTTCTGATCGAAAAATAACATGAATCTTTTAGAAATTTAAATCCTCGATATTTTCTGCCAAAATGAATAAAGTGAAGAGAAAATCACCTGTAAGCTAAATGTTCTACCAAACACCGATGACTGAGGAAACTGTAGCTTTATCCTAGATGTTCGTTCCGTTCCTGGCTCGGTAAGGATAACATAACCGTTCTGTAATTTTGCAAGTAAGATTTTAGGAACACGGTTATTTCTTATTTTCTTTGCTTCTACATCTCAAAAAGGGATCATAAACAAAAACCTAAAACTTTTGCTTGAAATTTTTTTCAAATCTGATGAAAAATCACAACAAAAAAATTTGACACTAAACTGCAAAATATGAACACCAACACATTTTCAAAGTAGAAAATTTGATATTTTGAACTTCGTTTAAAATCAATTTGCTTACATAGAACTGTCGTATGGGTTCGTTGCTTTGACAAAAGCTGTCGCAGAATTGATTGAAACTTTCATTATTTCCGGTAATCCGGTTGAACATCGTTATGTTGTTCATGGCATAGTTCAAGATCTAAACTCCAACATATAAGCTGTAAAAAAATTCGTCGCTGTCGGGTTTTTTACCTTTACAGTCTCGCGCATGTACTCAGGTCGTATCATGCTTCCATTATCTCTGGCCACTACGAAGAGGTAGGGAGCGACTGGTAGCCCTAAATGATTTTTTTTGATAACTTCCACTATTTAGGAGGAACATTAGACTCAACAGGTTCTCTTTGGCAAATAAGACATAAGCACTTGGGAGTCAATTGCTTGGCAAGTGTTTATTACACTTCAACAAAGTCATAAACAACACTGAGACTTTGTTTAGATGCGTTGACTTGCTAAGGTTTTCACCTCCAGACTAACAACAATAAACATCAGCAAACTGAATTCTGTTGGTTCACGATGTTATGAGCAGCAAACCTTGTTTATGCAAAAGCAAGCACAGTCAACGTTTGGTGTCAAGAAAACACCCTTCAGAAGCTGTTTATAGAAATAAGGAGGTTTGAATGATTAGTGATATAAACTTTCTCCGCATGTCGAGGCTTAATGCCTTTTGAAAATGAATTAAATTTTATTTTTCGAGACCATGGCCCGCGGCAGCTGAGCCCGCAAAGAAAATTTTATTTTACAAAATTTTTGATTAAGAAAATTTCAAGAGTCATCTCATTTCAGTAGTAACATTAAGTCATCCAAACAATTTTATTACTCATTTCAGTAATAGAAAATTTGCGACCCATTACCCCTCAAACTCCCTCACCCTCGCACGCTCGGAGCGCTGTAAAGGCACCCATTTAAATGATCTGAGATGTTGTAGAAATTAATTGTTTTTTGTTATTTACAGTGTAAAAGTAAGTTACAGGCAACACCAAGAGAAGCCGCGCGGTACTACAAATTCCTACAACACGCTATAAAAAAACTTTGATGTTACAAAGAAGCTTACGAGTGAGTTTCGTAATTTAAGGTCTAAGCAATTTCTACAGCAATCCTTTGCTCGTATAACGAAAGTACCACATAGTGTAAATAATATTGTGAAACCACTAGAAGTATTTTTTTGAAAAATGTAGTCTAAACGAGTGGTACCAATTAGAATGACTAGAATAAGTCCGAGATGACACAAATAATATTTTTAAATTTTTTGCTCACTGTTAGGTTCCCGCACGTCCGTTTCCTCCTTACACATACTTTAAAAATGAACTAAAAAAAGTGATAGTGTAATTCCGCTTTACATCACTCAAGATTATTTCAGTACTAGTAGAAGTATACGCGTTATACTTTGGTGATTATGCGTTTCTCCGTTGCAAAAGGAAACAACCCAGTTTGGGCAAAAGTTATTGGAAGATAAATGAGTGGTTACCTTGCGAGGAAAAGAAGTTCTGGTACTCTAAGAACTCGTCATTGGCTCGAGCTCCATAAGGTGTGTATCCCGTAATTTCATTCCGTTGACTAAATTGGATTACTGTTGTTTCTGAACCTACAGATAGAAGTAAATCGACTTACGGTGTTAATACGATTTTGACTGTTGATATAGCAGACACAATTAAACACAATATTATGGCAGTCCATGGCCACTCAGCAATGAAAAATCCCCATTTTCGGAACATTCGAATGAGCCATAAGACGAACTTTGGTCCTGAAAAAAAAAGTACAAAATTTGGAGAAAAAGGAAAAGGGACAATTTATACCTTTCTCGGTCTCTCCATACACATCGAGTGACCGTTGTCCGATGAGGATTGACTGCCTTCTCGGGCGAATGCTACCCTCCATTTGGGTAACTCAACGCTGCAAAGGCTATGCAGCTACGTCTAGAAGAAAGAAAAATTTCAGATTATTGGGTAGATCACATTGTTGAGGGAGGAAAAGTCCCCGAAACGATTTGAACGAGAAAAGCACTACGAAGTAAGGGAAAAAGACAGATGAGTCGCATTAGAAAGAAGAAAAAAAGCGAAAGTATGTAGCAATTGAGGTTTTTGGGTGGCAGTAGTCATTCAATAAACTTTACAGCGCAATAGTCTTTGACTCTATCAGAGAACAGGATGGAGTAACCTGTTATTGATTGTAAGACACTATCTGTAGGTGAATGGCAGATACTACCCGTAGAAGCAGATCATTCTATCAAGGGGAATGGGGCAGAATCTTTTGCAGCTTTCTCGCTGCTGGGGTTAGCTGTGTATGGCTAGGAACGCATCAGAGCCAGAAAATTAGGGAGATTGGTAAGGTAAGCTAGCTGACAGCTATGAAACAGTAAAGTAACGGAAACAGGTTTATTCCGCTGTTGCATTTGTATACTGCCTACTTTACAGCTGTACAGCTAAACAGTACATCCAGTTAGAACGTTAGAATTACAAAAACAACTAAAATGAAAGTCCAGTTTGATACTACTGCATTTCGGCCACTGATACATACGTACTAAATAGCTTACTAGCAAAAATCTCAAAAAAACTGGCTTCCTACCTATACCTACCGTACTCAGACAGGCTTGATATGAGAAGATGAGCGGCTCGAGTTGACAAGAGTGAGCTGAGGTGTGCCCATGAATTCAGAACTCTATTTGTTTGAGTAAATGTTATTATAAATATTATAGGTAGGAAGAAAATAATTTTTCCCTAAAATGCTTAGATAAATGCAATAGAATAAAACTTCAATCTGATACTGCCGAGCTCCGTTTCATCCCCTTGCTGATGGTGAAAGGTATGTGAGAATTGAATTTTATCTATGGGGTAGAACATAGGTCTTGCACACTAATTTCTGAAAAAACTTCGAAATGCTCGTTAGCTGTGTCCAACTGTGTAATATTCTTCTCATTGCAGGTATTACATACAATGGCTTACTGTATACAAAAAAATTCCAAAGTAAAAATTCGAAACACAGAGATATGGTATTTGAAGCATATCGCAGTCCCAGCAGCATTGATTCATTTTGATTAACGAAGGGGTTTACCCAAATCCAGATAGAAATTATTGGTCATTTTAGCACAATTAGGTGATAAATCTGGAAAAATACAATTTTAGTATCAATTTGTGACAGCATCTACTGCCGCATTATGATAATATTGCTAGCATCTCGAGCTATATAGAAGGCACATAACTGCTCTTTTCGAGATATTGGTATATCAGTTGATTTATCAGATACGGGAGAAATTACAATTCAAAAATTCTGGCGAAAAACTTACGTTTCAAGCTTATGGTGGTGCTCCCGATTTATACCATTCCCAAATGGGAAGTCTGTTCGTTTGAAGTCAACGCCCATCAATGAAAATCAACTCTCTGTTAAACTCAGCAAGTTCTCCATACTTCCACGAGAACATCGTGAAACGCAAGGATACAAAATTGCTTACGTGCTTTTTTGAGTTTCTCCTTTGTGAAGTGCCCTTTCGAAGATGAACTAATAACAACCTTCACACCTCCTACTGTGCATTCTCACGGTACAAAGAGTATAATAAATCGAATTAGCATCAAGAGGAAATAATACTCGATCTTGATATCGCAAAAAATATTGGAAAATCAGCGATTCGATTTTGCAAAAAAAATTCTAGCACCTGTCACTATGTTTCCTGGTAAGGGATTCGAGTTGAAATAGTGCAAGTAAGATTTTCTGGAAGGAGTGACCCGCTCAATTATTTCTATTCGTGACATTGTTCTTAACACAGGCCGTTTCTAAAACTAGATTAGGGATCTAAAATACATCTGCCTATCCGCAGCTCATCTATTTCGTAAAAAATGTGCCCAAGCTTTGCAAATCTTGAAATTGCGTATTTCCGAATTGGTCAACACACCCAAAGAGACACAAATATTAGGTTAGTGCAAAAATTCTGTCGCACTATTATCATAACTTCTTTCTGTCTCAATTTATTTGCAAATATTTAATTTTGCTAGGTAGAGGAAATCATTCACTTTGTAATAGTACTTTTCAAGCTCTTTATTGAAGATTAGATTTTGAAATGGAAGCCGGGGAGTAAACTTCAGCCTCGATCATTTTAGGGTGCTAGAAATCTGCAAATAGCTTTGAAATTCAAAGTCTAATGATTCAACTGTGCAGAGTTTATGTTGAAAAAGGATCTCTGTGAAGAATTATGATTTTTGGGTAAGCAGGGTCGTTTCTGAGCAAGTTCGACTGCTAAAAAAAACTTGCTATAAAACATGAAGCAAGCAGTATGTTTCGATCTCGCTCGTGCTGTCCAACAGTGCAAAAATTTTATCAAATGAGCATCTCCGTGAAGAGTTCTGATTTTCGAAAAAAATGCCAAAAAATCGAAGTTGTGTTTTTGTATTGCTTACCAGAAAATCATAATTAGTTTTTTGGTGGTTGGTTTTTGTGGTTTTTTCGTTTCCAGACCTTTTTTGGATTTCTAAAAGGTTGATAAATTCAAATTGAGTTGGTGATATTAACACGTTATGTAAGTCCCCTCCTTTCCAAATGGTGCTTGCTCAACTCGTTGTGAGTTCGTTGTGCTTTTTGATGAGTATGAGTATTTACCTAAAATTTCTAGTGCAATTACACTAAACTCGCTCTTCCCCGATTTAGTGCTGAAAATAAGTTCGTAAACACCTTACCCAGTAACGCGATCAAGTTCTACTGCATTCGAAAGTGCGAAAGGATAGTTGCTGAAGCGTAGGTGTCACTCTCACCACTTCAACCCATCTCCTATTTCGTATCAATAAAAACCTGTTTTTATAAGAGCTCTATTTCTATTAACACTTGCACTATGAAGATCAAAAAAGGCCAATCGTACAACGAAAATGACTTTTGCTGATATTGATTTGCAATCATCGTAAATTTTCCTTGCAACCTGATTTTTGACATTACAACCTATAGGTCAGACAGTGAAAACATTCAAAAACATGAAAGGAGGAATATATCAACACTATAGTAATTTTTTTCTAATTTAGATAGCCAAAATGGCTGTTTGTGACCAGGGCCCGGCGCAGATCGTCTGGAAGCAGGCTGAACTTCGTTTTCGAAGGAAACAGCAAAGGAGACATCGTTTTTGACGAGTCGGAACCGAGAACCAAGAATAAGCGCCATTTAGTCGAACACAAGCTTTTCGGGCAGGTTATCACACGATTGACATGCTCTATCATGCATGGCGAAAAGTGCGCGCGATTTGAAAGCAAGGCTTAAATAAACAAATTGCTTGTTTACAGCGCACATAGAAGCATATGACACCAAAATTGAACTATATGTATAGAAAATTATTTGCGAAAGGATTATGTAAAAAGATTTGAAAACTTATGTGAAGTAATACCTTTTCCAAAATTAGATCGTCTCCAGACGGCCACCAGACGATCTGAGATCGTCTGGAGCATATATTTCCGTCACTTCACATAAGTTTCGGATCTTTTTAGCATGGACGGATTCTCCGGTCAAAAATCTACCCCTGAGCATGAAGACATTTTCATATCATTGCTTTTCCTTCGTTTTTTGCCTTTATTTCTTCCTGCTTTGTTAAATATCGCGCTCTAATGCCAAGTCTTGTGCATGCGTAGTGTTCAGCTTCAATTTGGATTTTCACTCTTATCTTATGTCTTTTCTTTCAGACTAGTAAATCCTTCTTGTTTTCATCTTCTCCTAAGCAGGTAGGTCAAAGGGGACTTCGTAAAACTTCCGGAAGTCAGGGGAGACTTCGTTTTCAGAAACCCTAGAAACCGACTCGTGCCGGGCCCTGTTTGTGACATGAAGAATGTTTTGATAACATAACAAATCTCTTAAATTGTGGAAACAATAATCTCCAGAATAAGCAAAAACATTGTAGATTGAAAGATGTAGTATTCAACTATTAACAGGAACCTATTAGGGGAACACCGAAAGTCAAAATGGGCTTTCTAAATAAATTTATATTGATTTGAAGACCTTCAAATGCTGACTTCAAACTTGATTTTTTGCCAAGTGCCTCTAAACACTGTCTCATCAGGGTTTTTTGAAGCAAAAAAACGGTAGCAAAATCTAGATGAATCAATGATAAAATACCACGACAGTATGGAGTCAGCGTTTAATGCTTTTCAAATTGGTGTATATTTCATTTGGAAAGCAGAATTAGACTTTAGTCTCCCCCTAGGTAACAAAAGTTCGAAGAACGAAGATAACGACATCCTCGAGCATTTCGAGGAAAATAAATTATTCTTTTCTTTATTTTTCACAAAATCATGGTTTGATGGATGAATTCAGTGTTCTATGAGAATGTACCACGAAACCAAAGAGATATCCAAAAACCGTCAGCAAATGCTTTGAGTGGGTTCGGTCACGAATATGGATGTTAGGAGAAAGCTTGGAATAGAAATGGTGGACTGCTTTGTTTCCAAATTGAATTACTGAGATGAAGAAGTGAGCTCAAAATAAAAAGATTTTTATAAGCTCAAAAATGCTTTGCCTCTGCAACAGTAGCAGCTTACCATACAAAACCAGCATGTCAAAATAGCAGAAAGGATGCAGGATGCTGCTTTGTCACCTGGACTGTTCTTTACGGATTCTGGGAAGATTTCAAAGTTTCAAAAAGGTATATCCAAGTTAGTGCCAGGATGAACAAAGGCCACATGAAAAATTTGCGACCTATTGAGCTTCTTGCCCAATAAGCTGATAAAGGCGTCAAGAAATTGTAACGAGAGGATATTCCGTCTCGAAGAGAGCTGGAGAATCACTACCAAGGAGATAAACTTGACGCATTCTATCAGAAAGTAAATCCACTGTAATGCTTTATAAAAGTCTAAAATATCTACTTTGAACTTGGCACCTGGGAAATTTCCTAGAATCCATAATGAGGTGTGCAACACTCTATGTATGTCGAGGTGACAATGCAAGTTTTCTGAGGCC